TACAAAAATTAAGAAAACATCTCAAGTTTTCCCTTATTATTTTTTAAATTTATTTCCTCTTACAATTAAAATATTAATTTTTTAAAAAAAGTGTTGATTGATTCCGCAGAGTTAATTTTATTGAATTGATCTATTAAACAATATTGGATTTTTACTTAAAATTTCAGAGTTCTTTAGGTAATTTAAATTTTTAACATTTAAATCAGTCCAAAAGAGAGACCAATACACCGAAATGGCAGATATCAATACACTAGAGATTCAACAAAAGTCGAATAAATACTTTTAAATGTGCATTTTTTGCCAATCATAAAATAATCGCTTATTAAATGAAGAAATAAGCTCATTTGTGATTGATATTGATATTTTTGTAATGTACAGAACCTAGCCACAATCACAATTCAAGTTACCCGGGGTTTCCGCCATCTTGGTGAACACAACCAGTTAATTTTGTCACTAAACCTAAACTAAATCGACCCCTATGCCTAACCTGAACCCTAAATCGATCCCTAAGAGCCCTATGCCTAACCTGAACCCTAAATCGATCCCTATGCCTTACCTGAACCCTAAATCGATCCCTCAACCTAACCTAAACCCTTATTCACTGCAACTATAATAAACACGCAAATGACGTCAAAAGTATGATTCTCAACAATAGCCGATAGGGATTTAAAAATAAATAAATTGATTAATAGACATCAGCAAGAAATATTTTCTTAAATGTAAAAAGAAATGTAAATCAAAGTGTATTACTTTTGCAACTAAAAAAAAAACCAAAAAACAAAAACAGGATTTTCTGCCCCAAAAAAGTGCCACTTGTTGCGACTGCACTTTCACACCCCTCTTTCCCAACTGATTTTTTTCCTCCATTGAAAGCGCCATTTCCAACAACGGCTCAACACATCTTCATTTTCACTAATGGGAATAAATTGTCAAAATTTACCAAAATGCCACTTTCTTAAGAACATCTTAAAGTGTTTAGGACATTTACGAAAACTCATTTAGGGTCAAATGTTTACAGTGTCAGAAAATTTATGGACAGATAGCAATCTTGCATGAAACATCGACACAGCTTTGCATCTTGGTAAATGGATCATACTGAAAGGGCTATGAAGGAAAATACTGAAGTATATCATTGTAGATCTTTATGAGAGAACACACCTTTTATGATAGAGCGCACTTTTTACGAGAGAGCGCACTTTTTTTTGAGAGAGCGCACCTTTTATGAGAGTGTGCACCTTGAGATAGCGAACCTTTTGTGACAGAACGCCCCCGTAATGAGAGAGCGCACCATGTATGAGAAAACGCACCTTTTATGAGAGAGCGCACCTTTTATGAAAGATTGCACCTGTTATGAGAGAGCTCAACATTTATGAGAGAACGCACCTTTTATGAGAGAGCGCACCCGTTATGAGAAAGCGCACAATTTATGAGAGAGCGCACCTTTTATGAGAGAGAGCGCACCTTTTATGAGTCTTTGGTCGACCGTTCCACACTCGGGCTTCTTTTTGGCCCGCTGCTGCTTCGGAGTGAAACATTTTTTTTTATCTGCCTTAGAGATACACCAACCGACTTTGCCTATTGATTTAATTTTTTTTTTTTTTTTTTAATGATAACTTACATCAATGAAATGAAGTTGCCTTTAGGCATGACAACTTTCCAGTTACAACGCTGATTGTTTTGATAAACACTTGGGTAACCCGGTGACGTGATGACCCCAGAAGTTTGAGTCAAAGTTGAACCACAACCTGAGATAAGGGATATACAAACATGTTAGAATTAGACATCAATCAATATAATTCTCCAGGCATGCATGTATGTCGCAATGGTGAGTTCAAAAGCGCCTAAAAATAAAATTCCCGATTACTGCGCTAAAGGAGATTTTTTTTAAATACCCCAAGAGTGTTTGGTGTTAATATTTTCTTTTGTTTGAACAGTCTAAATTTAACAATGACGTAACAAATCTGCAGTGTAAAAAGGTTTGTTACGTTGAAATTAAAATATTAACATCGAAGGGGCTATTCGCACCCGGGTACCAGAAGTGAGAGGTTGGGATGAAAAAACTATTTAAAATTTTATTGTTGGGTTTGTAAGACAAAATGAGGTATCAAATGAAAGATAATTGAATGGAATAGTTTATTTTAGTTAAAATGAAGTATTAAGTTTACAAACATATAGTCCATTCAACATGATCTTAGAAAAAAAAACTTGAATCTGAATGTTAGCAGAATATAATTGACGATCAGACATTTTCCGCGTCAGTACCAAAGTTCTGTCACTTAACACATACACTTATCTTGTAAATTATAGGGCGTTTAGGTCTTGATAGAATTACAAGATCTGTGCCTTTATAAAAACTTGTGATTTTTGTTGTTGATGATATGTGAAATGTATTCATTTATTTTAATAGTGGGAACGCTGGAAAAGTATTCAAAGCACACAACGCTTGAAATAATTACCTGATATCAACAATTTCTTCCTTTCCAGCCTGGATCTTCAACCAACAATTTAAGTTGTCAGCATAGTTGAATGGGTAATCAGTGGACATGATTACCCCGTAGGGTTGAATAAGTTGTCCTCCACATGCTGATGGGAAAGGAACATTGCATTAATATTTCTGTTTATGCAGTATGTTAAATTCTCATAAAAATGCGTAAGACAAACGTAGCTCGGGCGCATTTTTTCTTACCTGGAGGAAAAGCATTTGCATTGGAAAAGGCGGTAAAAATCTTGGACCTCCCCGGGGCGGCACCAAACCAAGCAATGCCACTGGTGATATAACTTTGATAGGAAACAACCCAAAGAAGTAACTACTTGGTTCGGTGTCAATGATAAAATGTTGCATTGCTGAAGGTTTCCGCGGGTATACTAGATCCTACGCAGTGTGTTCAACAGCATGAGAAATTGTGAGCTCAGAGAAGTCAAGCGACGACAAATGAAGAGATCCAGTTCAATTAGAGGTGCTAAAATGTCTATGAGCTGGTTGCATCCAGCCGTCAAAATATGACACGGAAGAAAGGCAAATAGGTTCACATGATATGTCTTTAATCATTCTCAGTGAGAAAATATAATTTCTCCCGATAGATTGCGTACTAGAACGAATCCCTTATTCATAATTGTATCCCTTTATTTAAATTTTGATATAACTTTAACAATTATAAATAATAGCTCAGGTCACACGATCAAATTTGCTTCAAATTTGTATGAACTCATTATTTTGTACGTGTTTTTTGTTGTTGTTTTTTTTTTGTTTTGGGACAAAAGTGAAAATTTGTTAAAGTAGTAATTAGAAAGTTGTTACCAGGCTTTATACAAAAAGCACATCAAATTTATGATAAAAAATTTGATCGTTTGAACTGAGCATAGAGACTCATAAGCACCTTCCTTCCTTCGCACAATTAATTTAACAGCATAAAGTGTTCCAATTGTTGCCGTGTTAGATATCTTAACCTTTATATTTTGGTTCACTAATTTATTTCGTTACAATCTTTTTAAAAATGATGTTCCATTAAATGCCTCACATCTTCCTGATGCAGTGTCGAATGCTAAAGTTATTCAGTATAAAAACAAAACAACAACAACACTATGAAAATTATGTACTCAGTTTTTGAACATAAAAGATGCTATTTGAAGAATCAAAGAGCCAGCTGTTGTTTCATAAAGCATAGACAACTTAACTTTGTTAAATATTGTCTGTAATTGTAGATATACAAAACATAATATTGTTCACAGTTCATAATGAAACATAAATTCAATTCAATTTTTTTTTAAATCACTAATATTCTTTAAACATTATATTATAAAAATTCATAAATATAACACTGACCTCTATTTGTAGATGGTGTGGAAAAGTCTGGCATTCTTTCGTGGGTGATTGTAAATTGTATTACCCAAGGATAGAAAGTGGTTGATCCGTGTCTGTTTGTAGTAGTGGTATACCAAGGATATGGAGTAGTTGAACCTTGTTCGTTTGTAGTCTGTGTATACCAAGGATATGGAGTAGTTGAACCTTGTCCGTTTGTAGTCTGTGTATACCAAGGATATGGAGTAGTTGAACCTTGTCTGTTTGTAGTCTGTGTATACCAAGGATATGGAGTAGTTGAACCTTGTCTGTTTGTAGTCTGTGTATACCAAGGATATGGAGTAGTTGAACCTTGTCTGTTTGTAGTCTGTGTATACCAAGGATATGGAGTAGTTGAACCTTGTCTGTTTGTAGTCTGTGTATACCAAGGATATGGAGTAGTTGAACCTTGTCTGTTTGTAGTCTGTGTATACCAAGGATATGGAGTAGTTGAACCTTGTCTGTTTGTAGTCTGTGTATACCAAGGATATGGAGTAGTTGAACCTTGTCTGTTTGTAGTCTGTGTATACCAAGGATATGGAGTAGTTGAACCTTGTCTGTTTGTAGTCTGTGTATACCAAGGATATGGAGTAGTTGAACCTTGTCTGTTTGTAGTCTGTGTATACCAAGGATATGGAGTAGTTGAACCTTGTCTGTTTGTAGTCTGTGTATACCAAGGATATGGAGTAGTTGAACCTTGTCTGTTTGTAGTCTGTGTATACCAAGGATATGGAGTAGTTGAACCTTGTCTGTTTGTAGTCTGTGTATACCAAGGATATGGAGTAGTTGAACCTTGTCTGTTTGTAGTCTGTGTATACCAAGGATATGGAGTAGTTGAACCTTGTCTGTTTGTAGTCTGTGTATACCAAGGATATGGAGTAGTTGAACCTTGTCTGTTTGTAGTCTGTGTATACCAAGGATATGGAGTAGTTGAACCTTGTCTGTTTGTAGTCTGTGTATACCAAGGATATGGAGTAGTTGAACCTTGTCTGTTTGTAGTAGCGGTATACCAAGGATATGGAGTAGTTGAACCTTGTCCGTTTGTCGTCTGTGTATACCAAGGATATGGAGGGAGTAGTTGGACCTTGTCTGTTTGTAGATTGAGTAATCCAAGGATATGAAGTGGTTGATCCTTGGTTGTTTGTAGTCTGTATATACCAAGGATATGAAGTAGTTGATCCCTCTCTGCTTGTAGATCGGTCGACTAAAGGATATGAATAAGTAGAGTCTTGCCTACTTGTAGATTGTGTGGAAGAAGAGTTTGGGAGTGAATTTAAATAAGAAGTTTGATTGGTTACTTGGTTCCTTGAAGAAATTCCATGATTTGGGGTGGTCGAATTAAACCCTGGGATGGAATTGAAGTTGATTTGAGTTGAAATACTTGGAGTTCCTTCGGATAATGTTGTAGCTTGAATTTCAATGAACTGGGAATAAAAATAATGTGAAATAACTTTCAACGGCAAGCTTTTAAAATATTTGCGTTTTTTTTCGCAAATATTCTTTTTAAGCTTAATAACACGTCTTCATTTTCTAAATATGGATTTTTGCTTTTCTAAATTAGATTTTCGGAGCCCTTAAATGTCAAATAATAATAATTATTATTATTATTATTAGCATTGACAAGAGTATATATTTTTTCTTTTAAAATTATAATAAACCATTCCTAAGCCATTTTGAAATTTTATGTTCACAATTCATAATTTCCAAGTTAATTTTCAAATAATATTTTACAAAACAATGTTTCACCTCCCTTTTCACCCCAGTTAAGATAGCAGTATTCTCAAAATCCGGAAGACCAACAACGGTTTGCTGTGAATCAATGAACATTCGGTTGGTGAGTCCATCGCTTGCGCCAGCAGACGCTATGAGTGCTATTCCGAAGTCTTTATATCATTATCATCATCAGTGGCACCACATCCTTCCACTCAGAGCGATCCGTGGCTTTCCGCCTCCATGCTTGAACCCCCAACCGGTGTAAGTCTGTCTCCACATCATCAATCCACCTCAGCCTTGGGTGACCGGTGAGTCGTCTGCCCCTAGGCTTCTGCCTGTATGTAACTTTGGCTGCTCTCCTTTCTGGCATCTTTTTAACATGTCCTGCCCAGCGTTGTCTGCCTTTTTTTTATCACTGTGACTATGGGTGGTTCTTTGTACAAATGGTAAAGTTCTTGGTTTGTACAGATTCTCTAGATATCATTTTCTATCACCGGGCCGTATATTTTTCGGAGGATTTTCCTCTCTCATGTGTTGAGTAGTTTCTGATGAGTGTCCAGGTCTCACTAGCTTACGTTACTACAGGTCTTATGATGTTTGTGTATATTGTCATCTTTGTTCCCCTTGAGAGTTTTTTGCTTCCCAGTAGCTTTTGTAGACTGAAATAGGAACGGTTGCCTGGTGTTATCCTTTCTTTCACCTCTGTCATTATCTCATTGTGCTCATTTATAGTTGCCCCTAGATATTTGAATGTGTCCACTCTCTCAAATTTGTGGTTGTTTATATTGATGTTATCATCAGCATGGGAGTTTCTTGACATTATCATATATTTTGTCTTCGGTTCATTTATATCAAGGCCAGCTTTGAATGAGGCATTTTCAAGTTCCCTGAATGCTTTAATTATGTCATTACGGTTTCTACCCAGTAGTGCTATATCATCTGCATATGCCAGGTACTGCAATGGTTGGCTATATAAGGTTCCTGGTGGTCGTTGCTCTGTAGTATCTCTCTGGAAATAGTTTGTTATGGTTCCACTGGTGCTAATGTGAATTCTTCTAATAACTTTTTCTAGCGTGATGTTTGAACAGGATACATGATAGTGAGTCTCCTTGTCTGAGGCCCCGATTAACTATGAACTCCCTAGAATATTCTCCCTGAACCTTGATTCTGCTTTTGGAGTTGGCCATTGTCATGTGTATGAGCCGAGTAAGCTTGTTACGGACTCCAAGTTCTTGTAAAGCATTGTATAAGTAATTCCTGTTTATGCTATCTTATGCTGTTTTGTAATCCACATATAGTTGGTGTATGTCGATGTTATATTCGTAGCATTTCTCCAGGAGACATCTTATAGTAAAAATATGATCCGTGGTTGACCTATTCTGCCGGAATCCACATTGATAGTCCCCTAGGATCTGTTCACTATACTTTTCCAATTTTCTCGCTATAAGTTTTGTGAGGATTTTGTACATTACATTAAGAAGGGAGATACCTCTATAGTTTGAGCATATCAACTTAGATCCCTTTTTGTGGATTGGGATTATGAGTGCCGTGTCCCATTCAGTTGGCATTTCTTCCTCCTGCCAGATTCTGGTTATAAGTTCGTGTATTTGCCTATGCAGTTCGCTACCACCTAGCTTTATGAGTTCTGCAGGGATAAGGTCTATTCCTGGGGCTTTGTTATTTTTCATGGTGGAGATTACATCTTTTATTTCATTTAAAGTTGGTTGGTTGACCAGTGGGTCTGGTCCTCCTTGTGGCGGGGCGTAATCCTCATTGGTTCCTCCACCTGAGCCATTCAGTAGGCCTTCAAAGTGTTGTTCCCATCTTTCTAGTACTCTACTGCTCTCTGTGATCAATTCTCCATCCGTGCTTTCACACATGTGGGATCTTGCTTGAAAGCCATTCTTTTCCTGCTTTATCTTCAGGTACATTCCCCTCACATCACTTTCTTTTGCCAACTCTTCTATCTCTACTATTTTTTATTTTTCCCAAACACGTTTTTTCTTTCTGCAAATTTTTCTGGCCACCCTTCTTGCTTCATTATATAATTGTCGTGTTCTTCTTGTCTCCCTTTGCAGCATCATTAGCCGAGCTTTGTTTCTTTGTTCTATAAGTTCTTTGCATTCTGCGTCATACCATCCTGTTCTTTTCACTGCTGGTTTAAATCCAATCGTTTCCTCTGTTACACTTGTAACTATTTGCTTCATCTTTTCCCATTGCTGGTTTATATCAAAGTTGCTGGCTGATTCTCTTTTGGATAATTCTATTAGGGTTTCAATCTTCTGTTGATATTCCTCAGCAATTTTTGGGTCCCTACTCAGTTTCTGACTATTGTACTGTTTTTCTCTTTTATTTTGTTTATTGTGGATGTTACAAATTCTTTGCTTATATTTGATTCTAACAAGCATGTGGTCTGAGTTAATGTCCGACCCTCTACAACTTTTCACATCTGATATGTCCGAGCCATGCCTCCGGTCGATGAGTACGTGGTCTATTTGATTTAGGGTAAATCCATGTCGCTTCATGTATTTGTTTATGTTGGAATACTATGCTACTGATTATCATTCCTTTTTCAGAAGCAAAGTATATAAGTTGTGTGGATTGGCTGATATATACTCACTTTCCTGAAAGAACGAAAAGTCAAATTTATTTCAATGTACTTCTTACTTGTGTCTACTGTCAAAATCAAGGCTATTTATTATTTAAACTATTGAATCTACGTACTCATTATACATTTTACCGCACAATTTACCACATGGAATCATTTTCACATAGAAGCAAAAAAGGATAATTTAAGACATATTCAATGATGTTTTTGTGCTTAAACTTATATAAAACACATCTAGTGTCAGTGTCTAGAAACTTCACTGATTATTACTTAAATAACAGTTCCATTACAGTGCACAGGAAAGAGGTCCTATTTGTATGGGTCATATCTCGTCATACAGTAGAAGTCTGTCTATGTTAATAACCCTCCTCATCCTCATGTCCCTTAGTCCTTGGACCGTTGGGGCGCCACAGATGACATGTGAACCATCCTCCTCCATTCCTCTCTGTCTTCAGCACTACGCACTGCATCGCCCAGTGTTAGTCCTGTCCACTCTTTGATGTTATCCTCCCACCTTTTTCTTTGTCTTCCTCTTCTTCTCCCTCCTCTTGTGGTGCCCTGCAATATTTCTTTGGCAGGCCCTTGTTTCCTTGTTACGTGACCGTACCATTGTAATTTGCGTTTTTTCAGTCACCAGTAGGTCATCGTACTCCCCAATTGCCTGGCGAACCCTTTCTTTCACTGTATCATTGGAGTTATGGTCCCTATAGCAGATGCCCAAAATGCTTCTGAAGCATCTCATCTCCATCGCCTTTATTTTCCTTTCAAGATCGGCTGTTAATGTCCAGGATTCGCAGGCATACAGGAAAATGGAGAGGACTAATTACAGTTATTTGATATCATAGTGCCACGGGCAAGAAGTCCTTTTGGTATGGGTCATATCATGTCATACAGTAGAAGCCTGTCTGTGTTTTATTTGATATCATGGTGGCACAGGCAGGTGAGGAAAACAGGGTGGGGGGTCTACCCCAATCCTCAACTACCCAACAGTTTAAACAGTGCAGTCACATCTGTACTGTCAAACATACTGGCATTAAACTCATGAAACTTGGCTGGTCCAAGGAGGCAGACTGACCTACATGACAACATGCCATGTGACCAAACAAAGACAAGCAGACATGTTTACCAGGGCTTGTCTGTGTTTATAAAATGAACTCTTCAGGCGTGCTGACCCAGGGAGGCAACTTGACATCGTCCACAGACTCTTTTGTGATCTGAAGTCTTCCAAGCTCAAAACCTGGAAATGATGCAATTAGTTTGTGTTACGATAGTACCTGAGACAATGTCACATCTACTATGTAGTTGTAATCTTGCAATGAATGAAGTCAAGAAAAAGTGTTTTTTTTTAATGTCGATAGTCAAACATTGAAATTAAATGTCAACAGAAACACTGGCATAGATCTAACACTAGAAAGACTGCAGGTTTTGGTGACTGATTTAAAGCAAAGGTCTTTAAAATAAAGTATTGCAATTAAAGATGAGCATCTCAGTATTGGCAGTGTTGCAGACTGCAGTAAGATTTACTTAGCAGAGTTGAAGTCTGCAGTAAGATTAACTTCGAAGTGTTGCAGACTGCAGTAAGATTTACTTAGCAGTATTGCAGACTGTACTGCCGCATTTACAGTAAGACATGCCATTGAAGTTGACAAGAAACTCGGGGAAGTGGAAAAACTCTGGGATGATTTCCTTCACATCATTTGGGTTATCCATCAGGGAGGAGAAGCTCCCTGGAATTAAATGGAACTGATGGTCGGCCACATCAAACCTGGGGATTGTTGCACCATTGTACAGGTGATGTACACAAATGTGGATAATTACACAGGTGATGTACACAAATGTGGATTAATTACACAGGCGATTTGACACAAATGTGGATCATTACACAGGTGATGTACACAAATGTGGCATCATTACACAGGTGATGTACACAAATGTGGCACCATTAAACAGGCAATGTACACAAATGTGGCATTATTACACAGGTGATGTACACAAATGTGGCCCCATTGTACAGGCAATGTACACAAATGTGGCATCATTACACAGGCGATGTACACAAAAGAAACTTTAAATAAAATGTACATGCATTGTCTAACGAAACTGTCAGCTGATAAAAAATTTCAGCCAAAAAGTTCTTTTTGATTATCCTTAATTTTCGTTTTAAGCTTTCACCAATCCTGTTCTGTCACCTAACCTGTTTTTCACACATCCTGTTCTCTCACACAACCTGTTCTTTTACACAACCTGTTCTTTCACACATCCTGTTCTTTCACACATCCTGTTCTTTCACACATGCTGTTCTTTTACACATCCTGTTCTTTCACACATGCTGTTCTTTCACACACCTTGTTCTGTTACACATTCTGTTCTTTTACACAACCTGTTCTTTTACACAACCTGTTATTTTACACAACCTGTCCTTCAAGACATCCTGTTCTTACCCATTCCTATTAAGTATTGTCTAAGCTTTAAATAAAGGGTGGATCAACTTTTCATTAAAAAACAAATTTGGTTATCCACATACGAAAAACTTCAGCATAAAGATTCCTGATATTCCTTTTGGACTTCATGGCAATATTTTTGTGCACAACCCTATTCATAGCTTATTGGATTTCAGAAAGGTATTCAGATGCAATGTCTTTTGATACAAATGATAATGTACCAATGGAAGTGACATACATGTACTGTGCAGTTAACCAATGTACCAATGGAAGTGACATACATGTACTGTGCAGTTAACCAATGTACCAATGGAAGTGACATACATGTACTGTGCAGTTAACCAATGTACCAATGGAAGTGACATACATGTACTGTGCAGTTAACCAATGTACCAATGGAAGTGACATACATGTACTGTGCAGTTAACCAATGTACCAATGGAAGTGATTTACATGTACTGTGCAGTTAACCAATTTACCAATGGAAGTGACATACATGTACTGTGCAGTTAACCAATGTACCAATGGAAATGACATACATGTACTGTGCAGTTAACCAATTTACCAATAAAAGTGACATACATGTACTGTGCAGTTAACCAATGTACCAATGGAAGTGACATACATGTACTGTGCAGTTAACCAATGTACCAATGGAAGTGACATACATGTACTGTGCAGTTAAACAATGTACCACTGGAAGTGACATACATGTACTGTGCAGTTAACCAATGTACAAATGGATGTGACATACATGTACTGTGCAGTTAACCAATGTAAAAGTGAAAGTGACATACATGTACTGTGCAGTTAACCAATGTACAAGTCGCCTCAGTGAATTCATGAACATATTTAAACAATGTCAGTAAAACAAGGGATGGGGGCACTAAATTGGCTGTCTCCTGCCCTGCTCTCCAACCCCAGCATCCACCAGTATCTCTTTGCACTTACTTGACACTGTAATGCTCTATGTGCAGCATTTTAAACTCCCCCCAGCGGGCCCCCCCCTCCCCAAGCAACCACTCTATGCACTTACTTGCCACTCTGAATCTCTATGTGCAGAGTTGTAAATGGCTCAACCCTGACCAAATAGTGCATGATGCTGGCAGCATTGCTGTAGTGTGTGCCGTGGTTAAACTTTTCTTTTATCTCAGAAGGGTCCTCAAAGGTGTCATATCTCTTGTGAATGGATACTTTAATTAGTATTTGTTACTGTATAGTCTTTTATAAAGAATTTTTCATGGCATCTCTTGTTCTTCCATATATTAAGGGCCCACAATCAAATTATTGATCATTCTGTCTCCTGTTAGCCCGAAAAATTGTTTCCCAAAGTCCTGTCAAGAAATCCCTCACTGCAACCTGATTGAGTTTGTTATGAGTGAAAAAGTTCAGCTTC